GACCTAATAAGACAGAATTTTAATTAAACCTAATTAAATAGAAATTCTTTATGCAGCTATCTATATATATTTGTATTACTTGCCCTGTTTTTTTTATTCCATGCTTTTCTGTCCCCGAATTAAACATTTGGTACATTTGGTCTAGAACCGCCACTGAACCGTAAATACAAAACAAAGCTGATAGACGACCCGATGACCATAAAACTAATGTCACTCTTTACCAGTTTTGATCTGTGACTGGTTGGCCCACCACTAAATGTGCAACCTTTTTTTCTGACAGTGAAAAATGGCAAAATTAACTTTATAAAATATTATTTTACATTCAGAGCACAGTATGTATGCTCAAATCTCTTACTGGGAAGGTTTTAAGTAAGCTGTGTGTCTGCATGAGGCACATATGTGCTTCCATATCCTGTCGGCTCAGAGCCGATAAGTTCAATAAACAAATAAGACTATTCTGATTATTGTAATAGTTAACAAACTCGCAGTTACTGGCTGGAGGCGTCATTCCATCTGTATTTAGTAATCACCATCTAAAAGCCTTTCCTTTTCCAGTTAGAAGCTAAAGGTGGTAAAATAATCGCTGCTTCACTTTCACTGCCTCTGCTTGTTAGCTCAGCGATCACGTCTCATATTAAACCCATTTGGATACTGTGATTCTAACGAGGGCTGCTAAATAAATACGGTTCCATCATTAATGTAATATCACTTTATGCTGCATTACTATTTCAAAGCTGCATGTACTTCCATAAATATTAGATCATTATTTATAGTAAAGTATCACAAATCCATGTTTTCCATCAATGATATAGAGCGATCCAAATTATTACTGTAGCTTAAAGACTTTCTGAAAGAATGATGCCCTGTTTGATATTTTATTGTTTTATTTCTGTGTTTTACATTTTGTTTTGATACAAAAAAAAAAAAAATACTTAGGGAGTTGTTCACTGATTTCAGCCTTTTCACAAGCATACAGAATAATGGGATGTATTAGGCTCCATAAACAGTATCAGGACAATCAATGGGTGGATATCGCTTTACTTTAACAGGAGCATTGGTGTTTGGAGATTTTTGTTTTTATATGAGTAAACGTGGCTTGGCTCCTTTAAGGAAACCGTCTTAAAGGGGTGATAGAATGTAAAACCGAGTTTACTTTGTCATAGATGAATAACGAAATTGACGTAGAGAGAAGTTCCAACCCCATCAACACATCCTTTCTCTGCAAATCTCTCAAGCTCCAGGGCTGGTCTGGGAACCCCAGCGGCTGGGGATGGAGCGACCGAACCCGACCCGGTGACGGTAACGGAAGCATACCGTTCTGCATAATGCCCGCCACCTTTGCATCACATCCTCACCTTCTGATCACAGCAAAGTTTGCTGCTTCTTAATGGAGCACAGCTAAAGGGCGCTAATTAGGTCATAACTTAAAAGGTATGATGGAGGATTTTCACAATTTTTAAAAAAGACCTGCACATGCACAGCGCCTATTAAATGCATCCCAGAGCGTGCTCGAGCCCATTTCTCCTCCTCCACGCTCTGTTTAAAAGTTGCTGTTTGCATTGCTAATGCAAGCTTACTTGCCTAAAGATGATTTGCAATTTTTTCACTATGTCAGACTCTCACCGGTAAGTGAAAATGGGGACGAGCACGTAGGACAGCCATGCGTAAACATATCATCAGAATAAGTGACAATTAGGAGGACCACTTAGATGATCCATCCAGAAAAAGAACCTCCTCCACTATACATTTAAGGTGCATTCATACCAAACGTGGCTCCTACAGTGAGGGTGGTGGATGTCCCTACCCGATCCCTCCCTGAAGCACGATCCGTTTTGCGCATGTTCGACCAGATATACACCCGGGTGTCTATAAATAATGTAATTATGGTACTAAAACAACTTATTTCCATCCTTAACTCTCTAAAAAATGCTAATACACATCTGTAAAAAATGTTTTATTACTTTTGTGAGACAATTTTGATGCTTTTAACATCAAATGAAAAAATAAAACTCAAAAAGACTATATTTATATTTAAGTCCAAAGCTGAAAGAGCTAGCCACTGGAATGCTGACCAATCAGAACAAGGTTCTGCTGACAGCTAGCATTGAGCAGCGCCGAGAGCTAACATTATCATACATGGCATCTCTGCACCAGCAGTAAACAAAATCCTTAAATCTTCTGACAAATAAATCAGATTATTATACCAAGTCAGATCAACTTCCAAAGTATCGATTCAGTCAATTTGTTGTTAATTAGAGTCAAATATTTTGATACAAAGGAAATTAACAACAGGTGCTTTAAAGGGGCAACAATGAACCAAAACACAGAAGTTGGTTGTTCTGGATTTGACCTGGGGTCAGTGGCACCACTGGTAGCAGGAGGAATACACAGATTTAATCCCAAACATTCAAACATAAGAAGCAGGGTATAGGAAACAGTCAATAATGAAACAAACGAGCGAACACAAAGCAGCTGATGCATTTCTGATTGCTTCCAAAGGGAGCAGACTGAAAGCATTCCAGAGGTTACAACGTCATTTACATTCAGCACTTTAGATATGTTTCATGTTCTTTCAGAACAAATAAAGATGCTCCAAAAAAAAAAAAAAAATCATCCCTGCTGCTTAAAAAGAAGCGCCCTCCATCAGAGGCCCTAAGCCAACCGCTTCGGGTTATTACCAGCAGGCGTCAGGCTTGAATGAGCTGCCATTCGTAGCCTTCGGCTTCCATTCTGAGTCCACTTCAGGCGCACAGTCTGATAATGAACGAGGGTCACAGACTGCAAACCACACTGTTCTTACTCTAAAAGGAAAAAAAATTAACTGCCTCCTTTCTGCATGGATGCCTGCACATACTGTACTTCTCACCCGAGCAGCGGCTGCCCACCTGAGCCTCTTCTGAGGACGAGCGACCCTCGACTCTACGCCTAAGAAAGAAAAGGTGAAGCGCAGAATCCCAGGCATCTCTGAGGAGCGGAGGATGCCCTGCAGATGTTGGCACTGGACAGATTATCAGTTGGCTGAGCGATAAAGGCAGGGTGGGATCACACAGATAACAACACGTCCTTATTGCTCTCAATTACAGGGCATCCCTCCGGTGCCTTTCTGACAATCATTTTCTATGACTCAATCAATAACAAATCTTCAAATCAAGTGTTTCCTTTTTAAAAGCTCTGAGCTCTGCGTTTTTCCTTCATCTCTTACAGCAATCCTTCCTTTATAGCTTCATAACCTTGAGTTAATCTCAGAGGTTCACAGGTAAGAGAGAGAATTTTATATCCACAGGACTTTTTTTTCTTGCTCTTGTAGGAGCAGAGTCGATTATTTTCTCTTAAAGACCTTCTTTCTTCCACAAACCGCCCGGTTTCATTAAAGCTACTACCACCCCGGCAGTGCTCTGCTACCTCTAAAGCACAGAGACAACAAACAGGGTCCAACAGCACAGCTAGATCGACGCTAAAGGCTCCTTACCTGCCAGCTCATGGTGGATCAGATTAGCGAAGTTGGGGTCGTCCCCCCACCAGAAGAGCCAGAGCTCTCTCCAGCCCTGCCGCTGGCTGCGCCGCCACACGCTCAGCACGTCGGCCTTAAGGCAGCGGCTGAAGCTGCACAGGATGGGGTCCTCCTCCGTCACCGGGAAGAGGATGGGAGCAGAGGTGGGGCCCTGCCACACAAACTTCTTCCATCTGATCCCCGTCAAGTCAGCCTGCAGCAGAGAGGGGAGGGGGAGAGAAGATGGTTAGAGGAAAGGATTTACTGGTTCAGATCCAATTCAGCACTTTGGAGAGAGGAGGCTGCTGAGCACTGTTAAAAAGGTAGATATCATCTCTCTTTGATGAGGTAGCACTTCCTGTGACTAGATGATTACTGTCCTAGGAATATGCAAAGAGAGAAAATGAATTGAATATACAGAGGCTTATAGAAGCGTTCTTGTTTTTCTCTACATCTTTTACTTTAAGCCTCATTCATCTGCCCATCAGGTCCAATAAGCCTCCCTGAAAATATAAATTCCCAAACCCTGATGCAGCCACCACCATGTTTACTAAGGCATATGTAGACTGATTTACAGTGTTTGATTTAAGGCCACTTTATGCTTCTGACGCATAGCCTCTGTGCACACCCACGCTCCCCGCGCAGATGTTCTGCAACCGTCATCTCAAAGAAATCCCGACTACGCAGTGTTGGAGTATTTCGGATTCAAACCAAATGACCGAGGCGAACCGTTGAACCTATGCGAGCCAGTATGTCCCATTTGTCATAAAACAGTAGCAACTAAGAGCAGCAATAAAACCAACCTACACACGCACCTTAAGCACAACCGCCCAGCAAAGTTTCTCCAGCTGGGGACAAAAAGTACAAGCGGTGGGCCGTCTGTGTCTTCAAGTTCGCGACAGTCCACCATCACTGAAGCAATTAATCGACAGGCAGAATGCAAAAAGGACGGCGCAAAGTGGCGCACGCTCACAGACAGCGTAGTTCATTTAATTGCTAAAGAGATGCTCCCATTTAATATTGTTGAAAAGCCGGCATATCGAAAAATGTTGCAGACATTTGATAGACAGTATGAATTCCCCAGAAAACATACATATCACCAACGTGATATTTTGTATACACGTTTTTATTTTCACTGTGGTTTTATCTTGTATTTAGTTTTTATTCAAGTGTATTTTAAGTTAACAGAGACTGAGAGTCCATTTAATTTTATTTCTCATTTTATTTTGTTAACCAGTTCTAGTGTTAAGTGTTCTGTTGAAAATAAAGTGTGTTTATCTTTGGCAGGAAAATGCATGCATTATTACGTAATTTCCATTAAATCAGTGTCTTCAAACAATATTATAGTTTATCGCAATAATTTTTGAGACAATTAATCGATCAGCAAAATTTGTTATCGTGACAGGCCTATGTCTGTGTGGTCGTCCTCCTTGATTCGGTGCCGGGGCGCGCCATTTTTAAAAACCGAGGAACAATGTACAACTACACAGAAAGTTTAATCAGTCTTTTTGCCAACTCCATTAATGGAACCTGTTCCTCTTTGGTGCCTAGCAACTCTAGAGCCATCTAGCAGACACATCTGTCAGAAGATGATGAAACTGCTGAGTGTCCCTAGAAATTCCAGACAGACGGTGCAGAAGCATACCAGCAAAACTGGTTCACGACCAGACCTAGGCAACAATTGATGTGTGCAGTTGTAGAAGTATAACCTGCCATCTATACTCTGGTGACTTCATTCCTCCACGTTAGCCGTTTCCATTTCAGACTTAAAGTTTCAAACTTCAGGCTAAATTTAAACGATTGCTTCCTTTCTTTCCACTATCTTTTCTGATGCATTTTTACCACGTGGCTTAAAGGTCTCCCCACAGCTGCTTAGAAAAAAGTGAAATAGAAGGTCTGGAAGTGAAACTAAAATAAACGGTCCCCGCTACTGTGAGAAACCAATGAATAACCCCAACCAATCACAAAAGACGGTCCACTGTACACGATTAGTTCCGGGCGCGTACCATGACACATAAAAGAATCCTAACTGGTCTGCGAGTCACTTAGGTCAGTCTTCCATATTGCCTCGATAGCAGTGGAAGGAAAGTATGTGAAGTTGCAGATGGCAAGAGGAAGGCTGAAGAAGAAAAAGCCAAGACCAGAGTATGTATCGGAAAAGCATTGGAACGCTGGCGAAGGCTGAAGGAACAGCAGCGGCTTCAAACCGATGCCATGGTCGCTGTATTTCTTCCTAATAGGTGAGATACTAACTTTTCTAGTATCCATCCGGAGACGCTAAAAGAAGGAGACAATTCACAATACCCCTGCTTATTTAGCCAAGACAGAATGTAAATGGTAGTGCTGTACTAAAATGTATAGTTGTGCGCCATATCCTCAGAGGTTCCCCCGCATGTCACGCATCTAAACATTTTAATAGATCAGCTCTATACGGTACATATTGTGATTCCCGTGTTTTTTGTTAGTTATAACAACGTGATCGGCCAGCAACTACCCAGCTCGACACCTTTAAAGCAACAACTTTTTAAGCCCACTCCACCTCCACCTCTGTCTGCTATTCTGTCTCACTCTCTGGCTCTGATAGGTAAACATGGCTTTGACCATCAAAGCCCATACTGTCAATGTAATGAACTCACCATGTTTTGGTTAAATATAATTATTTAGATATGTAATTTAGGTTCAGGAGAAGTAATGTATACTTGAGCAGATTTTTTTTTGCTTACGACATATTTAGATGATTTTTAACAATTTTACGTCTTGCCAATATTTATATTTCTCTCTAATATAATTATTAAATATATAATCTTTTAAAAACAGTCTCATACCCTTTTGTGTATGTAGAGTTTTTGCATTTTTACTGTTTTATCTCTATAAAAAAAGTCTTATTTTGTACTTTTATTTCTTTTGTGTGCTTTTGTTCCAATGTTTAAAAAATAAACCAGTCAGTGCTCATTATTTGTTTCACTCTTTGGTTTATAAATAAAAAAATAAGGGTACCGTATTTATAACGGTAGTAATAAAAGATCGGACCAAAAGAAGTATTCTTAAAAGTTGTAGCATGAATATCCTTACAAATATCCACCCAGGTTATCTGGTAATACTTGGAACATGTTTTTGTAATTGTTTTGTGATTTTCATGATGGTGTTTTTTCATCAAGCTTCTAATAAATCTCTTTAGATTCTAGACGGACCGCCATGTCTGCCGGGTTTTCTCTCCTGTATTGGCATCAGCTGATACATCCTTACTTTTGCTGATTCATTAGTGCATTCAGCCCCCAATTGCTGCTAATCCATTGATAATCGTATGTTTAATTTGTTGATCTTTTTTTTTTTGTTTGTTTAAATTGAGACTTGTATAAAGTTTGTAATGGCTGCGTCTTTTTTATTGTGGAAGTAAAGGAAGAAAAATGAATATTTGCTTCAAAAAATCAACGCCCCAAAAGGTTAAAATAAAAAATCTGCGCCTCATGTTGAGAATCAGTTTGACCGGGTATCTGCAAACCAGCTCAAGAGCCTCATGCGGCTCTTTGGTTCCTTCATTGTGAATCTAATGAAACCAGATCAGATCAGATTTAAAATATTAAGGCGGTTAGAAGTCGTTCATTATTTATTCTACAATAGCTGAATATGTACAACATTTATGCTCTCTCAGCTTGCCTATTTTTAAAATACTCTCTTGTTTTTCTTTTTATTTTAATGGCCCCCTTACTTTTAAATGGCCTCTTTTCTGTTATACCTTTAAATGTTTATTATGGCTCTTGGAAAACATCTTTTGTAGCCTTGGTGGCAAAAGTGGCTTTTTGAATTGAAAACATTGAAACCCCCTGGGTTAGACTGATGTAAAAATAATAAAAATAGAATCATAATCAGCATTTAAACTCCTGTATCAGTGGATCTCTACTTTAACCTTTAATAGATCATTAAAGTTCAAGCTGAGATTAAATATGCACTTTACAAACTGCTGCATTTAATTCAGGGGTATCTGAGTAAATGGGGCTGCAGTGAAATGCATGACACACTTTTTAGATTTCTTTTTCGAAAACATTTAAGAACATTTAATTTTCTTTTTGGGATTATTAAAGCATTTTTTAACTAAATTGAAAAAACCTCAGCTTTAGTATCACTAAGTAAACAAGAATACTTTTATTATTTGCGGTTGTAAAGTGACAAAATCTTAAGATGCTCTAAAACTTTCAGGAAATGGCTGCATTTAGACGCTCGCTTCTGTTCAGGCCGGAGGTACGAGCTTTAAGGAACAAAATGTTCAAAACACATCATGATAGAATAACTCTGGTTAATATGGTTTTCAGCCCTTTAATCTGTATTATTAGAGAGGTCTGCTGGTGGTGGAGTCTGTCTTTATGCATAAAAGCCAGATGAAAAAAAAAAAAAAACAATCCTCCCAGGCATTAAATCACCAGCAGGGTTATTAAGTGTTAAAACAGGAACATTACGCTTCACTGCTGGTCGGGCCGCTGCTTATCGACCAAGTGCCGACGCTCTACCCATATTTACCTAAACACACGCAACACATGGCCGCTGCATCAGAACACAAACGTCCCTCAGGCATCTACTGCTGCCAGCATGCATGCTCCTCCATTTATCCTTTCAGGTATCCCTACTAATCTGAGACAACCTGGTCCGTCCATTACGCACCGTTTAGTCCTGCTTCGTTCAGGCAGGGAGAGCTTTGCCGCTCTATATTTCACCCAATTAATCCAACACAATACGGGGGGGATATCTGGGCTCAAGTTCAGAGGCATCGGGCGTGTAAAAGTGATTACTAGTGGTTGTGGCGAGGCAGTGGTCTTTTGCCTGAGTAGGGATAAGCCGGGAGATTTGTGGAGTTCGAAGGAACGGCGGTGGAGACTGTCTAGCACCGTGTGTCGTCAGAAGGAGTGACGGTTGGCAGCCTATGAGAAGCAGTGATAACGGCTTTCCTCGTCCATTTTGGGGATTCAAGCATCTGTCAATAATGCAATACAGCAAAAAAAAAAAAAAAAAAAACATCCCAGCCTCTTTTCCCTCCACTATTAAATCCTTAACAGAAAAACCTTTTATCTGGAAACAGCAAAGCTGAAGGATTAACTGATTTATAGACCTGAGATTAAGAAAAAGAAACGTATTCAACATATTAAATAGAGAATCACAGAGGAACAGGTTGGTGACCCACAGGTCCAAATCTGTGAAATCTGATCCATCCTGATCGGACAT